TTAGGACCTAAATAGAGAGTAATTAGTTAGTTGTCAATCTATAAGTCAAGTTAAAGTTAGATTAGTAGAATCTACATAGTATATCAAGTGTTAGTAGTAAGAATTACCTAATTTAGACCCAGTTCCCTTACAATAATTATAAATCTTGATACTAATAATAGGTGCTTTTCAGGATTAAGAGACTAAAATTATTATATTAATGGTATTCACGTATATATTTTCAAATTATTAACCACTATTGATTTACATTGTGGGTCGTTACAGCTACAAAGCCATTGGGACTTGCATTATCCAAAGCCCTGTCGATCGACTCTCTGTTGGAGCTATAATTCAAGCATTTGTTGGAGGTTTCGGGGTCAGCATTAGTCACACCGTAAATTATTTGTTCAATGTCGCTGGGTGGAGCACTCATATTTGAAAAATAAAAACTTTGATCGTTTTCTAGCCTGAAGTCTGTCAAAGTAGTCGGCAGGTCTTCCTGGTAATGAGATGTAGTGTGCAGCAAGTCTTTCATGGTCTTCTCTATGCTGGAGTCTGTAGTAGCGCTCTTCGATAGTTTGCTTGGAAATAAGGAAAATCTGTTTCCTACAATTGTGCTGGAATCAGAATGATTAGAATCAGATCTGTTTAAAAAGGCCAATGTTGATGATGTTGGCGTAGGATTGTTATTCGCAGCCGAAGCCCACATTGATGAAAACGGAAGGGATAAAACCACAAGCAAAACACTCACAGCAGACAAGACATTTGTCTTGGCTTCACTTACACCGTAGTTAATAAGAACCAATATTGATGGAATGAACATTGTTTGTGTTGACATGATAAACAAAATATGAAAACTATCAAATTGCTTTAATCCCAAATAACGTCTTGTCTTAATAGCAAAAAACAATTTACACGCTAGCATACAACTCATTAGGTTGATGGAAACGGAAAATAAAATAAAGGGGATATCAGTCACCCAGGATCCAATTCGTTTGGTTGAGGTAGAATGATTGAAAACGTCTTGAAACATTCTCGCACTCGATACCGTGCTGTTTATATAGAACCCAACAATCGTTAATCCAGCAGCAGCCGACACGATCGTGAGAGCAGCTCCTAGTCGTTTTACTTCAGGAGACCTAAAAATTATAAATATCTGGTACGTCATTGACACCTCGATGCACGCAACCAATATCGTCTGGAACACATTCGCAGCCACCGTCACCCTGTATGATCCGTACGTATTGGGTATTAGTATCCCCGTAAACGAAAAACTCAACGATGACAACGGGCCCATAAAAAATGCCAAGTACAATGCTGACTCGATCACCATTATTGCCATTGTGAGCTGGTTTAACACAAAAATCGGTGTGCGCTTATGCTGACAACTGGCCCACAATGCCAAAGAAAGGGTCAAGCACGCACCAATAGCAACACTGTATACCACTATGTAATGGAACGAACTAGCAACATACTCATCAAGCACTCCAAATGTTACTACATATACATCATCTGCATTTCCCAAAGGTAGCGTATAGTTCAAGGGGATCTTTTGAGGATTGATGTTATCATAAGACGAAATGTCCATCTCTACTTTCTTACATCTTTTCGCCGTTACATTCTAACCTTTCGTCAGGTTGGCTCCTTATATATGTTTTGCTTCAAATCCTTTTACTGCAAAAATGCCTTACTACCTATTAGACTTTTGTAGCAAGGTGTTGATAATTGCCTATTCGAGCCTCACCAATGGAACCAAGTGTGTTACTGTTACGAGACGCATGTCCTGCCCATCTATACATGGTGATAGTTATAAAATGATCAACGTTTTCTCGTAAACGATAGCCGTTGTTTACTTTACTACACATGATCCATTAAAGGGCCCATTAACGTCCTAATCTCTGACGATTGATCTAAACCGATCGCTGCGATTTCGAGCCGAATCTCCGAGATGTATAGTCGTGCACATAATTATCATCACTATTTCACCGCCTTTAATTGTTGATGAAAACACCAGATATATACTCCATAGATACAAAACGGGCGTTATAAATTAATCCATATTATTTCAAGTTTACTTTATAGACAAGAACAATTGAATCAGAAAGAATATAGATTCTAAAATTAGGCCGATTATAAGAAAAACACACTCGTCCGTCGTTGAATATTGAAGTCAAATACATATTAAGAATATGTCCAACTCACCAGCACCAGATATGAGGGACGTATCTATGGTTGATGTATCAAATACATCGGATAGTATTACAACTGACCAGAAGCCACAAGATGTGGAAAATGAACCACCGGCTAGAAGAAAGTCTACGATGATTTTGACAGAAGAGAACGAAGCGCAGGCCGACATGGACCAGGGGGTCCAGGCCGAGAATAATGATAACGATCAAATGCATATTGACCAGGCAGGGGTAAGTGAAGCACAAAAGGCGCCTGCGGCGCCACAGGAGACGATGCCAGATCCTAACGTGACGCTACCAATTGACATTAGATGGACCCAGGGGGGAGAAAAGGTGTACATTACAGGATCGTTCACGGGGTGGAGAAAGATGATTGGATTGGCCAAGCAACAAGATAACAGCTTTTTGATCACTTTGGGCTTGCCGATTGGAACGCATAGGTTCAGATTTGTTATTGACAACGAATTGAGGTTTTCAGATTTCTTGCCTACGGCAACGGATCAAATGGGAAACTTCGTGAACTACGTTGAAGTGACCCCAGAACACGTCAATTCGCATTTGGAAAAAGAACAGCAAAAGCAATTAGAAGAAGAAGAATTGCAACAAAAACAACAAGTTGGTCGCAGGACATCGGTGTCGTCAACCCGTGGCAGATCGGACTCCATGTGGGGCTTAACCAACGACGATGATGACATGGGTAATGGTTACTCTAGATATCATGATGGCGATAGCGCAGGTTCAGGCGTGAATAACCAGGCCTATATTTCTGACATTCCACCAATTTTCACAGACCCTAAAGTTATGGAGCAATACTACATAGCGATCGATAAGCAAGCAAAGAATCAAAATGGTCAGCAACAAGCATGGTTACATCCTCCACAATTACCACCCCACTTGGAAAACGTTATTTTAAATAACTTCAATTCGATGGATAGAGATAATAATTCTGGGGCTTTACCAATTCCTAATCATGTTGTTTTGAACCATTTGGCAACCACTAGCATTAAACACAATACATTAGCTGTCGCCTCCATTGTCAGATACAAGAGAAAATATGTCACTCAAGTCTTGTATGCCCCTTTGCAACAATAAATTAAGACGATCGATTGCTTTTTGCCAATACATCCTCATGGATTTATCTTTTCATTTGATAGCTAACACATAAGAGTATATGTAACATACATCTTTGAAATATTTTGGCCTGTTCTATTTTATTGAGAGAAGTTATATCTTGTCTAGATTTAGTCGTTAGTGTTTAACAATCATTAATATTTCACGTTCTAAAGAAACTTGTATTAGTATTGAGCGTTATTTTGTGGCCCCAAAAGATGTATCTGCATGCCTAAAGAGCCTACCTTGAGATACTTATCAATAATCACGCGAGTGTTATCTAAAGCCCATGCATATTTTGTAGTACTGATGTACAACAGGAAGAGTTAATCTGACCTTGGTTCAAATCAGTAGTACGGGAACAATTAAAATTTCCCCTTTGTTTAGTAATAGGCATGTATATCTGTGAATAAACTAATTTTACATTTTTGCGGCGAAACATGTCTGCCTATGTTGACTCCTTAGACAATGTCATGTCTTAATTATGTAATTGTTACCATGTGAAGAGTAATACCTTTTAAAGTATATTATTAAATTGAATGCCTAATATTACGCAGTCTACTAATATTATTGATTTCCTAATGTTTCATTATGACAATTCTATAAATTAGTTTAATATAAATATTTAACATCACCATCGAGAAGTATTAGTGTAATTGGTGTCGCCACTAAATACCGATAGGTAGCATGTAGAGTAGGTGCACTATTATCTCATCCGTACTCTCCGTAATCATTGATTTCATTCATCGTGACAGTCCTTGAAATATTGCTTTATTAATTCTTGTCTTGCATTAGTCTTATCAGGCCAATCAATACCACAATCCTTATACCACGATTCGTCTTTTCGCAAGTCTAAATGTAGTTTAACAATGTCATTTCTATTTCTTTGAGCCATTACCGCTCTATTTTCATCGAACATAGAACAGCATCCTTCTCCCACATAATTAGAAAGCCAAGGTGATGATCTAGTTACATGGTTCCGAGATAGTTCTATAAGAAGAATAATGTGGTTTGATATCAGTTGCTAATGGCTTAGCCTTAGACCACGCAACATCAGCCCCTATTACCATGTCGTAACCATCTTCAACAGTGCCATCAGAGAAGTTCAAATTGTACGTATCAACCACAGCATCTACACTTTTTAACTTCTTATTCCAATTGATGTGCTTAGGATCGATACATTTCAACAAAAGACCCCTTAATTCAATTCTATCAATATCAGGACGACTATAGTTTTCGAATGACTTATTTTGTTTTTCATCAATTAGTATTCTACCATCATATGAAACTAGCTTCATTCAGTCACCTTCAGGCCGAGCCTTCAATTGAAATTCCTTAACCAATCCCGCCTTTTCAATAGCAATTTGACGAGTTTCAGGATTCAAATCTAATGTGCCACCTTGATTTCTCTCGCTGGTCCCTGATTCTAACTCGAAAATAGTAAATGGAATTCTTTAACAGTAAAAAGCCTACCTAGCATAAGACCTCCTGGCTCACCTCCTGCCACTGTGATCTTAGGAAGCTTCGTTAAATGCAATTGCTAATGGTAGGGAAAAGGTTATGTTTTGAAGACGTAAAAGGTGCTACTTACTGCTATTCATGTTACATTAAAACAAGACGGATTTAATACGGGTGTAATTAGCCTCTGTGCTGCAATAAGCCCTTTTATGATTTTGACTGCTAGTCATGTGACTAAATTATGATCTTTTTGTAAAGAATTCCATCAAGCATTCGACGACAAAGACTGTAGTATCCAGCTTGGGATTATGAATAGCCGAACGGTAAACCATGGGATATTTCATTTTTTGGAGTCCTTAAAAATCGTGTTTTAAACTGGAAGGAGGGAAAAAAAAATTACAAATTCACAGTAATTGAAGTATTTGCTAGTACAAAACTTTATCACCAATGCCTGGGGTATTTAATCAAGATAGGATTGGAGAGCTCGAAAATAACTTGAAAATTCATGTTAATCTATGCCCAGTATCCTTCAGTCTATGGTTTGTATGGCCGTTTAATCCTACTTCATCGAAGCAAACATGCTTAGTATCTGAGGCGCGATTGCAAATTCAATATATATCAAGATTTTTGTAACTTTTTAAAACAAACATAAAAACAAGTTTAATATATAGACTCACACTACAATGTAAAGGTTTGGAAGAAGAATATTCCAGATAGGCATAAGTGAGTGGATAACTCTTATGAAACATAGTATATTAGTCAACTATAACACTTCACAGATTTGTGTTCCAAAAGTTGGTTTTGTGTAATTTGAAGTAAATACAAAGACTCACGATTTTCATCAATTATATTTCTATTTAAGGATATCCACTATGGATTACAGAACTAACTACTGATTTCTATCAGCTGTACGTGGCTTAGCACGGATAATGTTATCAACTCTTAACAAGACTTCAGATGCTTCAGCAGCAGAAGAAACAACAGCCCTCTTTAACTTGTAAGATTCGATAACACCTGTTTCTCTCATGTCGGCAATAGTACCCTTGTTTAAATCCAAACCGGAGGTAGTCATACCGTTATAAATTGCAGATCTTAATTTAGAAACTAATTCTGAGGAGTCAAAACCAGCATTATCGGCCAATATAGTTGGCAATTGTCTTAATGCTCTAGCAAACGATTCGATGGCCAACGATTTCTTACCGGTTTCATTAGCAGCAGCTTGTTCAACAGCTTTAGACATAATCATTTCAGAACAACCACCACCTAAACAGGTTTTGGTTTCTCTAGTAGTCTGAGATAAGACGGAAAGCGCGTCGTGTAACGATCTTTCAGCTTCGTCTAAACCTTGTTCAGTAGAACCCCTCAAGACAATGGTACAAGCTTCACCAGCAGCAACACCGGAAAATTTAGTCATAACATCTTCACCAATTAAGATTTCCTCAATAGTATCACAGTGACCTAATGTAACGGATTCTGGTGTATCAAAAGTGGAAACAACATCACCACCAGTGACCAAGGCTAATCTTTCAACACCATCGAAGTCGGCATGCTCGATAGAATTTATCTTAGCATCTGTAAATAATTGCTCTGGGAAATCGTAGATCAATTGCCTGTTAATAAAACAGTTAATATTGAATTTCTTAATTTTTTCAATCTTGGCCTTCATCTTAGCCTTTTCAGCCTTCTCTAAATCAGCTAACTTGGACGTGGAGTCAACCTTGAATTTCGCTCCGAATATCTTGACTTTATCGGTATCCATAGATGTGTTTGCAATTAAAATATTGGCATTAGTAATTTTCTTAGGTTGGTTGATTCCGAACCTTTTTTCAAGAATGAATCCTTCATCCAAAAATGAGTCTCTTAATCTACCACCCACCTTCTTGATCACTTTGATATGATTTAAGTTAGTTGATCCATTCAATCTGAGGATAGCATCCACCGCTAAAGTAGAGAAGTGATCCTTGTCTTGGGCTAAAATCTTCGACGATAACGTAGTTTTGGCAATGTTAATCAAATCCTTTCTGAATAATTCTTGATCAGAACCATTGTTCACCGCTGCTTTACTTAATGCCTCCAACGCAGTGTTACACGCGATTCTATAACCTTCAATAATCGTCTGAGGATGGATTTTCTTTTCTATTAATTTTTCTGCTTCCTTCAATAATTCTGCACTCAACACGGTGACAGACGTGGTTCCATCTCCAACTTCATCATCCTGAACTTTGGAAATGTTAACCAAAACCTTAGCGGCTGGGTTGTCCAATGGAATCGATTTTAAAATCGTAGCGCCATCATTGGTGATCATTGCTGAATCCATGTTAGATGAACTTTGCAATAATTTATCCATACCTTTAGGTCCTAAGGTAGACTTAACCAAGTCTCCGACGGCAATGGCCCCAACAAACGAAGACATACGAGCATTTTCTGCTCTCTCTTCAGTAGCTTGATCTCCTAGAATCTGAACTGACATTTTGAATCAAACTATATATTTAAAGGTGTATCTTACAAATTTTATTCCTTTAATACTATGTGATCTTGAATGCCTAAACAATTCGATGTCGAAGTGTCGTGTAATTACCACATTTTGCCATTTTTCACCTACTTTTTAGTTTTAGGTAGACCTAACAACACCGGGAAGATGTAGAAGACAAGAAAATAGTACTGTCTAACGGTAAACGCTATGCTGATTAGGGGAACGGCAATACGAAGGAATCAAGCTTCTGAATGGTGGAATAGAGCTATTTTTATCGCCATTTAGTGTCTTAAGTGTTGCATCTTCTATCATGTGACCAAAATAAGGGGACTAAGTAGCATTGTTCCAGTAGCTTAATGAAATCATCAACGGAGATTTGACGGAAATAATAACAGTGGTCAGGGTAAGTAAGAAAGCTTTAGCTATAGTAAACCTCATGTCCACTTCCGATAAATTGAATGATTCTGAAAGCCAAAACAGTAGTATTTATGAACATGCAACCGATTACGAGGGTATATTTAGGGAATTGGATGTAAATAACTCTGGACAATTGACGCTAGATGAATTCCGTAATATTCTGAAAATACTTCGTTATCCAGTCGGCGAGGGTTCTGAGTTTATTGGTAAGATGTTTGAAACGATAGATAAGAATGACGATAAGGCAATTGACTTTGATGATTTCAGGTCGTACTTGAGAGCGACGGATGATCAAATTAAGAAGGGGTTCAAGAAAATAGATACAAATAATGATGGAAAGTTGAATTTCGAGGAGTTTTCGAATTATATGAATGAGACGCTCAATTTGAATGCCACCAGGGAAAAGATGGACATAATGTTCAAAAAAATTGCTCAGAAAGATACGGACTACATAAGTTTTGATGAATTCCGGAACTTTTTGTTATTGGTGCCACGGTCAGGGGGGTCTAGACTTAAGACAGCCTTTATGTTCCTTGTAAATGGGCTTGACATTTCGTCGGATGGAGATGTCAATATGAACCAGCTGCTTTTGAATGGGTTTGGCTTGTTCTTAGCAGGAGGGGTGGCAGGTGTAGTTTCGCGGACCTGTACCGCGCCGTTTGACAGAATTAAGACATTCTTAATTTCCAGGTCTGACTTGTCGTCTCTCGTGATACGTTCTAAAGCAGAAATCAGTAAGGCCATTGCAGATAATGCATCCCCTCGAGTTATACAGGAAGCAAAACAAAACCATCGTGCAGTTAAGGATGCTGCGAAGCAAGTGACGAATACAAAGAAAATCAGATCTCCCTTGATCCAGGCTGCGAGAACTATATACTTGCAGGGTGGGCTTAGAGCGTTTTACGTGGGTAATGGATTGAATTCTGTAAAAATTTTTCCCGAATCAGCAGTGAAGCTCGGTGTCTTTGAGGCTACCAAACGGTCTCTTGCTACGATCGAAGGAGTGCAAGATCCATCAGAATTATCGACTATTTCGACGTACTTAGCAGGTGGTATTGGTGGGGTTAGTGGCCAATTGACGTCCTATCCAATTGATACTTTAAAATTCAGATTGCAGTGTTCAAATATAAAGTCAGATATACGAGGCAATGAGCTTTTGATCAGAATTGCAAAAGAATTGTATCAGGAGGGCGGTGTCCGAATCTACTATAGAGGAGTTTTAGCTGGATTAGGAGGAATGTTTCCTTTCGCAGCCCTCGATTTAGGTACATTCACAACCATAAAGAATTGGCTCGTTAAAAGAGAAACCCGGAAGAGCGGAATAAAGGAGGAAAATGTCAAATTACCGAACTATGTGATTTTAGCCTTGGGTGCATTCTCAGGTTCTTTTGGAGCTTGTGCAGTATACCCTGTAAACGTATTGAGAACTAGATTACAAGCCCAAGGAACGCACGCGCATCCATATACATATAATGGTTTTTTTGATGTCTTCCGCCAAACAGTTGCCAGAGAGGGCGTTTCTGGGTTGTATAAGGGTCTTGTGCCGAATCTCGCCAAAGTTGCACCTGCGGTATCGATAAGTTATTATGTTTATGAAAGATTGAAATTCATATTCAAACTCGAGAAAACACAACCAATGTAGTGGCTCAATAGTGCTTTGTTTGGAGCTTCGAATGGCTAGGTAAATCCATCTATTCTGTGTTTGGCTATTGCTTGGTCTTCCTGGTTGGATCATATGTCACGTGACCAATTAACAGCAAATTAACGCTCATTAAAACCGCTTACTACTGAAATATTTAATACAAGCGTATGGTTAGCTAGACTTTTAGTAAATACTTGTCGTACCATATAGATATAAGAAAGGTATAGCCAGACGCTGGAAAATTTTCAAATACCATATTAGCATTTACCAGCAAATATATACATATTGGCATTCAGTATAAAATATAC